AGCATTTAAGCATAATTTTTAGTTGAAAAGAACAACTAAGTATTTAGCTAAATGATATAGTAGAATGGACACAATTTGCTACCTACTAATGATATAAACGTGTACCGGTACCATCGTTGTATCCTGACTTGCCTTTGCAACAGGCACTTTGAAAGACAGCTGCATTTTAGAGAATAAACACCCATAAGGCCGTTACGAAACCAAGCTTAATCCAAAATCTTCATATTCCACTTCGAAGACTCCATTTTCAAAAATAAGAGAGTTTAACATGTCAAATCACTCATTTGAAAAATCTCAAACAACTATTAATCAATGCAATATAATGGCACGTTCCAAATTATGTACTTGTAGGAATAATCCCAAATAATTATCAATTAATGCCCCAACTACCTAATGTGCAGAATAGCCCTGGAGCTGTGCTGTTGTTTGCGTTGGTCTACCTTCAAACATAACATAGTTGCATCACGAACCAAAGCAATTAAGCAAAAATCTTCATATTCCAAGTAGAAAGACTATTCAATTTGGCCAACGCTTTATACATATTGTTTACCCCTGGACCTGTTGCACTTGCGCCTTCAGATCTTCGTGAACACAATACAATTGCGGAGAGGAGGCTGTCAACGGAATAAAAATTGTTAATTAAGTGAATCACCATACAACTAAACAAACACGCTCTTCTTGATTAGCTATCAAAATAGTGGGGGTCGCTACAATCCATCGGTTGCTCCCTCTGCGCCTAAGTTGTAGATATTAGGTTTCAGTGAGAACTTTGAGTACATGAGGAGATATTTTGTAGTGGAGGAGATGACCCGGCGAGTAGAATAGGAAGATTTGGAGAGGCTGCGATGGGCAAAGCAGTTAAAATCGAGATTTTACCTAAAATCGAAAACTGGGGTAAAATCAAAATCGTATAATCGAATCGTAAAATCGTAGGATTTTAAGTACCATATAGAACATAGCATATAAGAATGTTAATAAGGTAAATTATTAATATCACAAAGACACATAGCATTTAAAATGATAATTCAGAAGATTTTTTTTTCATAAGATAATTCTCAAGATTAATGTTCCAAAATCACTATTTTAATTGTTATTTAATGTGTAACTCAAAATAATTCATGATGAAGGGATATAGTCCATGGGTTTGGCTCTTATTTTCATGTTATGTCTAGGTTGTTTAACTCAAAGTAATATTTCGACATCGTCTACTAAATATGATTTAAAACTAAAAATAATTGAACTCTAATAAAATAAGTAATGTTAGTGGCTTGGTACAAATATATTCATTAATAAATTAATTAGTTAATAATGATGTTAGTTCTTACATACTTCCAATATTATGACAAGTGTTTTACCAATAAGTTAAATGGGGTGAAGGGAAAGAGATTAACCGAACCCTAATTTGGTTATTTTTATTATTTTTGAATATTTTTCTAATAGAAAAATATCTGAGAAGATTCCATTGCTCTTTCCGCTGAAACAGTTATACTTATTTTAAATTGGCTCAAACCACCTATTTTGTTCTCTTACGATCAAAATCCCGATTTCAGTACTATTTTACGATTTTAACGATTTTAGTCCCGATTTTAAACGATTTTAAAATCATTTTAAAATCAAGATCGGAATCCCTAAGTAAAATCCTAAAATCCTACGATTTTACGATCAAAATCCCGAATTTGACTGCATTGGCGATGGGTGCACGATTAGTGGGCCAAATAACAGTTTGGGCCCGTTTAAATGAAAACATATTTTTACTTTCGTGCTCAACAGACCGAGCGCACTGGCATCTTCTAAATTTACCCCTAAAAAATTGCTCTGTACGCATCAAATTTGAAATGGAATCCCTCTTTTCTCATTTCACATTTATATGATGTGTAGATTGTGATGAGTGTAGATGTAGACCTGTCATTGTCCTACAAATTCATTAACACGCCAAAAAGTGGTGAAATGAGCCACCCTATTAAACACAATCTTGTATAATGATCATTGGATCCAATCATGCCAGATTATGAAGAAGTTTAAAATGTAGCGGTTATCCCGACTAAAACATTAAAAGAACCAGTCTCATATAGTTTGCACAAAGATATAATTTCTCCATAGTAATTCTGAAAAATAATATTAATTTAAGAAGTCGATATTGCTTCTACATGTTTAATATTGCAATTCGATATGCAATATTCGAACCAGTGATATTTGGGCTGCAATTTTAGGGTTATTGTATATTTATAAAATAGATAGAAATTTAAATTAAGTATTAAACTACAACTAAAATAATCAAAGTATTAAAACACCAAATAAGTACTTACGGGAGATTCAGTGGCCAACTAATCGTTAAAAAAGTCATATGATTTTCATAATTTAGGTTCATGTATGTTTGAATTTAAATAGATACAATAAATATACTTGGAGTGATTGGTTATGATCCTTGCTTGCCTTAAAAGAGACAAAGGTTCAAATCCCAGTGCATGCTTTTTTTATGATAAATAAATAAGAAAATAAGCAATTGTGAAGACCAAAATGTCCTTCCTATAATCACTCTCGTTGCAGGAAATTTGAAATGGAGCAACCGTTTTCATCATTTGGCTTTTATTTATTATCTAGACTAGCTTATACCCGTCCGTTGGTCGGAATATTTTGAGATATCTATTTCGATGATATATCTTGATTAGGGGTGTCCATTCGAGTTCGGTTTTTCGGGTTTACCCGAAACTGACCCGATTATGTATATTTTTGGTTTTTCGGGTTCGGGTTCGTTTCGGGTTTCGGGTTTTTCGGCTTCGGGTTCGGTTTTGCTTATCGATTTTTCGGGTTCCGGCTAAAAACCTCCAATGAATATAACTCAACCCATATTCTTAAGCGTTCGGGTTTTCGGGTTTCGGTTTTGCTTTAACCCAACCCGAACCCGATAAGGAATTTTCGGGTTTCGGGTAACCGGAACCCGCAAGTCCTTATCGGTTTTGGGTTCGGTTTTAGTGATTTTCGGTTTCGAGTTTTTGGTTTTTTCGGGTTTCGGTTCGGGTAACCGAACCCGACCCGAACTGAACTGACACCCCTAATCTTGATAAATAGTTAAATACATTTTGTTTGGAACATAGTTAGTAAAATACGGTACGGGAAAGTTACGTATAAAATACGTACGGGTATTATACTTCGTCTCTTAGCTAATGTTACATTTAATAGTACGTTAATAGTCATAAATATATAAAATTAATTATTTTTATAAATAAATAAACATGTAAAAAATAGTAAAGTTATTAATTTATTTTATTAAATACGGATATTAAACGTGTTATACGGGTTTTATACGTGTTTAGTACGGGAGCCGTCAAATGAACGGAAACTAATGAAACGGCTTGACAATAATACGAATACGGAAGTTTTAAACGGATAAAGTACGTACGGGTACATATACGTGTATTAAATGGAGTATTTACTAACTATGGTTTGGAACTAATAGTTGACTTTTTATAATCGAGATTGATATTATTAAAACATGATAAATAAAACTCAATTCTTAGTATTAAAGCAATCATATGAATTAATATGTTGAGAGTTTAATTTGTATACCTTGAACCTTATTGATGAATGGTGTTCTCACTTATCATAATCAATTCCTTGATGAAAAGTTTTATACTTGATTGGGATTTTTTTTCTCAATTAATAGGTTTGTACATGATTTCCTTTGGAGTTTGGACAGATAACATGAAGAGTGAATACTTTGAAGTCAGGACATATAGACTGGAAATAAGAACAATGTAAACACCATATAGCAAGGAAGACAGAAGCTCTGGGGAGCTGTCAATTACAATTTTTGAAGAATAGGTTAGATAGAAGGAAAAAGGTTTGCTCTGCTAAATCCACAAATCCCCTCAAATGATACCAAAGTGAGAAAAACAATTCCAATGAATGAAAGCATGGAAGAAAACTAACTGAACTCAAATGAATTTATTTGGCTAAATATGGTTGCATGCACAATTACGCTAATCATTATTAACCACCATCACATGTAGGTGGAGTGTAATTAGTCTCCAAACTATGCAGCATTTTGTGTACTCTCACAATCCACGTCGAATTTTTTACCCCATTAATTATATAAACCCTTTACCCAACACATAAATTCCACTTTGAAACTCATATATCCCCTGAACGGTTTGACACCTCATTCACAAATTATCCAAATTAACTACAATTACACACATGCATGTCTCCATCCCCCTTTTAGTTCCCTCGCTGCTTGCATATATAGCACCAACAACACTACATCTACATGGACCATACTTTGAGCTTTTTTAGCGAGCATTCCACTTACTACACTTTCACCCACCTAAGTTGCTTACCCTTACAGTTCTCATAGCGGCAGCAGAAACATTAGATATCACTGCAAGCACGCGGCACAATTCAATAGACAACACATGAATCTGAGTAACATAAGATTAAGAGTTTGCCAGTTTGTTGAACCATGTTTATCAGCATAAACATACATTCAACCATTCTAAGTATTACGTATCATCACAAACGAACAAAAAAGGCATTGTATTATGTTCCATAACAACTCAATAGAGGAATGTATTTAGTCAAAATTTCCCATTAACAAATGCAAACTGACAAAGAGGAACCTAGATTAAGGAGTCTAACAGTCGAGGGATTTCAATTATAAAACTATAGGTTAGATAGAATCATCAACCTCAAGGGAAAAGTCATTGTTGTATTAGGCCCCAAATCTTCTGAAACATACCAAAATGAGAGAAACAAATCACAAACTATGAAGCCCTGAAAATCTATCTGACATCCAGTTACTTTATGGGGTTAAATTTGGTTTGTTTCATAAATATGTTATATTATTCATGGAATTGATTGATTCATGTTGGTTGGTGTAATTAAGGAAACATAATCATCTCACAACAACCATCCCTTTTACTGGTTCTTCCTTCGGCTCTCCACTCTTTCACCTGTAAAGTAAAATTAGTGTTCACCTAGAATCATGGAGTTTTTTTGGTTTTTCATAAACACCCCATTTGAATTTTTTTTTGGCATGCTGCGTTCTCGCAAAAAAAAAAAAAAACTGAAATAGCCATATAAAGCTTGAAGTAGCAGCACAAAACCAAAATGAAAAATATAGTGACGGAACAACCTCCACTCCCTCGAGCCGAGCTGGCGAAGATGGTGATGAGGGCGTGCTCCTTCATGTTGAACGGCCCCGGATTCATCGACAATTTGTAGTCCAAAAAGGGGGAAATTTTGAATTTCCTGGTAGGCAGAGTTGCCGCCATTAGCTTCCGGAGTGGGAGCACCACGATTTGGATGGAGACCGAGCCGACGAAGAGCTGGTTCTGACGGTAGCCGAAGAATTGGTTGACGGAGGAAAGAATTGCGCAGGCGAGGATTCCGAGGACCCATGTTCGGAAAGTTAGGACCGGCTGGGTCGGGTCGTCGGTGATCGGAACTGTAAGTCGGACCTGCTCGATCGGGTTGTCGTTCATTTCTTCCTTCTCATCGCCTGTCGAAACAAACATCGACCCATTGTCAAGTTAACCGTTAATCACAAACCCTTTGAATCTTTCACTAAAATGCAGAGCATTGTTGGTCTTTGTAACTGCTTACCGAGAACAACGCACTGAAGGTGATTCTGTCGAGGGGTTCCCTCAACCGAGAAACTGGAAGTCATCCCCGTGGCCTCAGATTTCTCACTGATTGCGGAGTAACACAGAGAGACTATCAAATGGTGAATTGGACTTGTAAAGAGATGGAAAAGGTGGGATTTTTTTTTAATAGCAGCAAGTTTGGTAGGATATGGTGGTTGGAGGAGAGGCGGTGGCAGAACAACCTTCGTTGGCAGTGACGGAAGATGATTTCAGCCGCAAAAAAAGTAGTGGGAACCGACGGTTTCTTATCTCTCCTGTCAGGCGGGGATTTTTAATTTAATCCCGTGTAACCACCCTGCCACGTCAGACTCCTAAAATCACTCTATGCGCAGAAAAATTTGAATGGGGTTGCAGTTTTACTTTTCAGCTATAAATTATACCGTTGATGAAATGAATAATATACATGGAATGGATCTGTTTGAATTGAACTGAATTGAATTGAATTGAATTGGAGAGACATAGGTACGTACTCACTGCATGCAGAATCTTGGGCTGGAATGGAAGCATTAAGGACTGGTGCAGTTGAGAGGACTGGAGTGGTGTTGTTGAATTGAATTGTGGTTTAATGCAATTTATTGTTAACCCTATTTATTTTATTTATGTGCTGCATGCAAATTCAAATTCATTCATTGTGCTAGCTAGATAAACAGATGGACATTGTATCAATTAAATTATATGTTAGCTAGAGTGATTTTTAATTCTTGTTTTCATTTTTTTTGTTTCAATTATTTTCTCGTTCGTTTGGAAGTTGCGTTGTTAAATATATCTATTGTTATGAATGCATGTATTATATTATACATGTATTGTCGAATTTGATACATTGTGGAATACAACATTTGGTATGTGATTGTGTATGCCACATCAACTAAAAGCTGAGACAAACAATCTCAATTCAACTATCCCAACAATCACAACTAATCTTGTTTGTTTGATGGATTTGGTGATGGACTTTGTCCAAAATTCATTGTTTGCTTCAATTATTTAAAATTATCAAATCCGTGGAACCCAAGGACTATGAGGGTCCAAATCCTTGGGCCCCACGAACTTGAAATTCCCACCGCTTTAGGTGAGAATTGATCATGGACTTTGAAGTCCATAATTTTTTACTAACCTACCCCTCATAATCTTTCTCTTCTTATATCATTGAGGGCAATAATGGTAAAGTTCACTTCATACATACAAATTTAATTAACAAAATCCATAATGAAATCCATGAAACAATGATTTTTTTCAAATCCATAATAAACCCAAAATCCTCATATGTCTATGGTTTATTAAAAACCAAAGTTATACAAAACCTTCATTTTTCAAACCCACGAAGCAAACGACCACTAAAAGTTGAGATATAAGAATCATTTATTTTGAGTGATAGTTATTGTCGCATCAATTCATGTATTGTTTCTGTTAAAAAATTAAAAATAATTATGTATTCTAAACAATACATGTATAGAAACCAGCTCAACAAAACAATCGCAACTTGCAAATTACGTCATTGATTCCATTAAAACTGGAAAAAAAAATTATAATTCGTTAATTGTTTTGAGTGTTAGAAGTTGAAAATTTTCACTGATCTAGCCTGAAAGTGCAAGACTTACAAAACAGCTAAAGAATTGAATTGTTATTTGAAAAAATAAAAGTAGCAAATTGAAAACAATAATATAAATATGTTGCTTGACATGATTAAACCCATGTCACTTATTTAGTTTCATTGTAAGGTTGGTCACTGTGTTTACTAAAAACGTTTATGTTTAGTCACTAAAAATATTTAATTTCATTCGTGGTCACTAAGATTAGTTAAGGAGACATTTTATAATGCTATTGCTATATAGTATTGGTGCTACAGGTTTTTGCTTTTATGGTACAACTTAAAATTGTACATTTACGTTATGGTACAACTTCATATTGTACCTATACTTTTTGTACAAATTTTTCTATGGTACAACTTGAACTTGTACTTTTATGTGATGGTACAGCTTTAAGTTGTAAAGTTATACCATAACATAATGATACAAATCGCTTTATGGTACAACCTAAACTTATACATTTAATGTTATGGTACAAATTTAAGTTGTACATTAAAGCACCAATGCTATATAGCATAGTAGAAGTGTTCTTAGTTAAGTGTGTCAAATTTGGTCACTCTTCATCCAACTTCGTTAGTTTTGTTTGATGTGGCAGTCAACTCTCAAAATTAACCGTTAACTGAGTGACGTGGTAATTAAAAAAATAAATAATTTAATTTCTTACAATTTCCAACTCATTTTCACAATAAAGTGAAATAATTAAAACAGAAAATATTATAATTTCCAAATTAAAGTTCGCCATCCTTCGCTTCAGCGCGTCGCCTCTGCTCCCACTTTCATCCCGCCGATTGATTTTTTAGTTTACCGAATCCTCCTTCGCAAAATCACCAAATCGAGAAGCTCACTTCATCGCAACCAACTTTCCCACAGATCAAACGATGGAGAAGAAAGGGGTCCGCTCCAAGAAACCCACTCCGCTCAATTTCGTTGGCTCTCTCTGTCTTGGGAGCTCAAACTCATGGTACGAAATGTAGTCGTCGCTATCGGTGTCGATCTCGTCCATCATCCGCTTCACCTCGTACGACGTCAGCGACCCCAACGTCTTCAGGCAATCCCCTAGCTCTGTCGTCGATCTCTTCCCGTCCCCATTTGTGTCGAAGCGCTTGAAGATGCGGTCCCTGTCCGCCTGCTCATGTGCTTCGTCATCTTCCATTTAGTTTACTCTTTTTATTTTTTTGAAGCGGACCCCTCTCTTCTCCATCGTTCCATATGTGGGTAAGTTCGTTGCGACGGAGTAGCCTTCTCAATTTGGCAATTTGGCGAAGGAGGAGGCTTCGGAAACTCAGAAGTCAGAAATCAATCGGTGAGATGAAAGTGGGAGCGGAGGCAACGCGCTGAAGCGGATGCGGACGAATTTCAATTTGGAAATTATAATATATATTTTTTATTTTTAATTATTTTACTTTATAGTGAAAATGAGTTAAAAAATTGTAAAAGATTAAATTTTATTTTATTTATTATTTTTTAATTGCCACGTCACTTAGTTAACGCTCAACTTTGAGAGTTAACTGTCACATCAGACAAAACTAACGGAATTGGATGGAGAGTGACCAAATTTGAAACACTTAACTAATCTTAGTGGTCACGAATGTAATTAAATATTTTTAGTGACTAAACATGAACATTTTTAGTAAACACAGTGACCGACCTTGCAATTAACCCCACTTATTTACCACTCAATTCATTATAAGTGCTATACATTTGCCCACTTATTTACCACTCAATTCATTATAAGTGCTATACATTTGCTTAATTTGGGATGATCTGATAGACTTCAATTACAATAATTTGGAAGATCGATGATTACCTCACAATGAAATGAATGAATCTTTCTTTCCATGTCAACGTACACCAGGAATCCAGGATGATGAAAGAAAGAAAGAAACCCTACCACCCTGCCCTCTCACAATTGCAAACTGTGCTGTGCGTGCACCCAAAAACACACACAAGTTGCTAGCTATAGGCTATAGCCATGAGCCCATAATAATGATTCGATCGACAGACAGCTGTGGTTGAAAAGTTCTCCCTTTACCAGCCACAGCCAGCCATCATCATCATCATTCATAACCATAATGCGGCAAGGCCGTGACAGTATCCATCCACAGAAGTAGCAGCAGCCAACAGAGAGAGAGAGAGAGAGAGAGAGAGAGAGAGAGAGGAGCTTTCATTCCATTTAGATGAGCCCCTCCAAAGAAGGGAGTAGTAGCAACTGAACAAACCAATAGAATACACAAAGAAAGAAAACAAAAGGCATCCTGTTTCTTTCTCAGCTTTCAGAAACAGTACTGCCCACAAAGTTCTCCAACCCCACTTGCTTTGTTTGGAGAATCTTTTTCCAAGACTAAAAAACACAAAAGAAAACAAAGAGTCAAAACTTCCCACTACTACTCAGACTCAGAGTCGACCGGCCGGCCTCACATGTCCACTACAACCAACCTAACAGTAAAAAACTAAATAGAGCAGAGGGTATACCAGAAAGAGACCAGAGCAAATTAAGAGACGACCATTACACTAACAAAGGGGGGATGATGGCGAATTATACATAGGGACGTACGCAACAGACACATACAACTATATGATGAGAAGAGAAGAGAAGAGGTAAAATGAACATGATTTCCCTTCATTCTCCTCTTCTCATTCTGGTGTCACTGGCAGTTGGCGTTCTTACCAGGGCCTCCATAGTAAAAGTAATGACCCCAGTCGCCATTGCTGCCAGTTTGAACATCATAGCAGTTGGACTGCTCGGTGAAGGTGCCAAGTCCTTTGGGAGCCTTGAGATTGTTGGACTCATCCACAACTTGAATGTTCCTGAAGTAGCTCGACTTGCCAAACCCTTCCTCCGGGAAATGCCCACTCCCCATCTGCGTCGAGGTGTGCTGCCCATCTGGTTCTGTGTTCACCACCTCACCTCCCCACTCAATCATGGAGGCACTGTCTGCTAAGTATGAGAACAGAAATGATGGCCAGTACCCTAACACATAGTCGTTTCCAAACTGCATCCACCAGTGCCCTTCCTTTGGATCCTGCACGCACACAACACACAAGAATGTTCAATCCTAACAACCCTTGAGACAAATCACCAGATGGATGGTCCAGCTTCAGCTTTTTTAGATGGCATTAGCTATATCAGGTAATGAAGGAAGGATAAGAAATCGATTTTTGCATAGAACCGGTTTCGGCTTGATTTGTTTGTTCCTTTGCTTTTGGGATCCATTAAAATGGAAACAAACTGCCCTGTGACTTAAAACTGAGTCGACCTATAAATCAAATACGGTCCAAACATAAACTCCAACTGGTTCTGAACCGAATCAGACCATGCCCAACCCCAGCCCCAGCCCTCACCCATGAGTATCCAAGGCCCATCGCCATGGGCCACATAACAAGAAGAAGAAAAGAAAGGAAGGGGGAACAGGCCCATGAGAGAATGCCAGAGATTCTCCCAGCATAAACCTGCACCACATCAATGATGCTATCTGACAACCCATCTCTCCCCACCTCCTATTATTATTATTATTATTATTATGTGAAAGCAAACACCTTTTTTGACTGGTTCCAAACTCTAGCAATATGGCCAAAGTCTGCATTTTGAAACTTGCATTGCCAAGCTCCAAAACACAAATCTTTACCATGTTCACATGCATACTTCTGGTCAGATATGAGCCACACAAGCGACCACACTCATTGTCCTATCCTTTGGCTGCGTCTCCACTAGATATCTTTACCAAAAAGATCAACAGAAGATGCAAGCTTTTTCGTGATGGAAACTGCATGTGAATGAGAGGACAAGAACACACATAGGCTTGTGATTTTTAGTTTTACCTTCCAGATAAGGATACTGATGTCATATTGGGAATTGCGGAAGCCAGAAACAGGAGAGATGCTTGCACCCATTGCTATCTCACTGTTGATCTGGATAAAGCCCGAGCATAGCAGATTGTAGCACCCAGTTGCTTGATATGCATCGCTCTGTATAGGAACATAGTTTAGATTTCTACCAGAGTCAACGAGAAGTCTCAGTTTCATTAGAAAGAAATGAGTTATTGAAGCTTACTGTCCAGTAGGTGAAGAGCCTTGTGTTGTTGTCACCATAAAGATCTGGACTGACCTGTTTTATCATTCAAAAACATGAGATGATGGGATTATAATATATCCACAGAAGATGACAAGGAATCAACCGTCTTTGTTAATTCATTATCATGGGTTCAATAATTTTGTGTTGATCATATGAAAGGAAGGACAGGATTGATTATTAAAAATATGCTTATATAATATACCTGCCAACCAGCTTCAATACTGTTGAGATCCTCACCAAAGGATCCTCCCAATATCCATAGCTGAGACAGGCTGAACTCATTGGGTTGTTGTATCTTTGGTTCCCAAACGTTAATGGTGGCCTTGGCTCCATAATACCTATCTCCTTGAACATATGCTATCGCATGCTAACGAAAACAAGGAAGAGCAAACAATTAGGAAGAGTATTAGACTCCAAGTAAGAATCCTTCCACTGAGGAAAAATGCAGAGACTTTACTTGGTGGCCACTCTGGTTAATGAGATCAGGTTCAGCTGACTTAGGCTTTGGGATGCTTCTATGCTTCTTCTTACCATATCTTTTCACAGAGCTCGCTCTCACAACATCTTCCTGCTTTGTTCTTCTGATTGGAATGGTGCCTTCAGGGCATTTACCGTTGGCATGCCACAACTGCTTGATTGGATTTGCTCTCACTTTAGATTCTGCTGCAGCAGCCACTTTGTTGTCATCAAACAGTCCTTCTGGGTGGAAGCTAGGCCTCATCTGCACAAACCCTCCCACGTCATACAAAGGAAGAGAAAATCAAAAGCACAAAGCTTTAATGGAACTGCAAGAAGAGCTATTACAGACCTGAATTTTGTGGTCTTTGAGGTAAGGATGGTCGAAAGCTGGCTGGCTGGACATGGGAACACAGTCAATGATATCTCCATCCGGGCTCTGCCGTAATCGAAAGAAACAAACACAAATGAGCTTAACATGAACCTTCACAATGCCACATTACCAAATCAAAGAAAATATTCAGACATCAGACGCCTTCTATTAGTCCTTTAAAAGGATTGTTTGGTTAATGCATAGAGGGGGGAAAGAAGAGGGAACATAGTAAAGATCTGCACTGAGGATTCCAGATCATATATGCAGTTTCTTGTGTTATTTATTGCTCAATAAATCCCCCGAAAAGGAAATCATTATAGTGAGAGAGAAAGAAGGACAGTAAAGAGGAGTCTAATAATCGGAACATCATTGTTGACTCACAAAATGGAAAAAGAACCGAGAATTTCCAGGAAGGAAAAGTTGGCATCCGATGCTCACTAGAGTAGAAAGTAGAAAGAATACCAAAAGAAAGAGAGGGAGAACCCAGGAAGAAAAGAAAGAAAAAAAACACTTGAAGACAGCCAATTCCATTCGTCACTGGGACAATACAGGAAACGGCAGGAAAAATCAAATCAGTAATGCCAAGGAAATAAGAAGCAAGCACATCTCCCCACACTTTCCCAGAAGCCAAACAAGCAGAGCATTAGTATCAGGAAGAGAAGAGGGGTAAAAAGAAGGGACCTGAATGGACTTGGTAGATGGCTTGTTCAACCGATTCAAGTGCTTCTGGACGTCCAGCTTCTGCTTTGAAGCGGAGGAAGAGTAGAGGCGAGCCCCGGAGGCAAGAGAGAGCAAACCCAGTATGCTCAAAATCGAAAGAACCAATCTTTTGCTAAAACCCATGATTTCACAAGGAAGAAGTAGCTCAGTTTGGTGAGTGCGAGCTTTTCTCCTCCTCCCTACTTCCTTATCCTGCGCACCCTTGGAGACAGAGGAGCAGCTGCAACTTTTAAGCTGAAGCAGGCATGACCACACTACTAACAAACTTAAGCATGTGCAACAGATTAGAGATGACAACAAAAATGAAGAGAGGGAGAGAGAGGAGGTGAGAGATTTGTGGAGCGCCTCACAGTCACAGCTCACTTCTTTCTTCCCTCACCCTTCTTCTGCTTATCCTACGCACACTCTGCCTTAGAACAAGTAAGGACTGCTTGGTGATGGGATGGCTGCTTTCCCCTAAAAAAAAGAGAGAGAAAAACTCTTGTCCACTTCCTTCCTCTCTCTCTTTAAATAAAAGCGCACTTTCTCTGTCTAAAAAAACTCACCATTCTTCTTGTCAATTCCTCTCTCACTCTGCCTTTCCCTTCTCCCCATTCTCATTTAAAGCGGACCCTCTGCTGTTAATTATTAAAAAGCCTTTTCCTTTCGAGACATTTGTAACCAAAATTCTGCATTTACTGCTAATGTATCAGCTTTTTTGTTTAATTAACATTGTTTACCATCTAAGCCCTAACAAGGTGTTGGTTACGAAGGTTAAATTTACACTGATACAAATAAGTCCTCTGCAGTTTTGCTTCTGCACACTATGTTAAGCATTCGGACTTGGTCACACTTCCCACAGGCCACATTTATGTTTGTTCCTTCTAGATTTTTTTTAATTTGCCAGGGAAGTAGCTAACTAGCCAAGGGATGGGATGAGAACCGAGAACCAGATTCGAAATACGTTATTCTAGTACTAAAATACTCGATTGCCTAAAATTTGAACGGCAATCATTTCCAATTCAGTCTAGAGTGTGTTATTTAACCATAACCTAATATTTGTTAGATTCCCATCAAACATTTGAGCAGAAAAATTGTACATGTCTACACAATGGGGCAAAATGGGGAAGTAGCTGAGATGGGCCTAGTTAGTGGTAGTGTGACAAAGGGAAAACAGCCAAGAAAAGCTTTCGAGAAGAGCAGATTAATAGTGAACATGTATAGTGGTTTCAATATGAAAAATGATAGACACCACCAATACCATCAGCCAATAAAACGACATATTATTGATGATAATTGCATAACGAAATGGAAAAGGGATGGTGCGATACACTTGTGTTTGTTTTCACATGAAGTTTACTTGTCCTTTTCACGATATGTCACCAATATTTTGGAGGAAGGAAGCCCACCTCCATCCTTCATTTTCCCGATATGCCCTTCATGTTGAGTACAATAGAATCAATTATCAAACAAATTTGTATATATAGGGATGACTGACTGTTAAGGTTTCCGATGTTAAAAATGTTATTTTACTAACTTCAGTGGTTAACCAAGATATAATATTTGATGACCTATCCAACTATAACAGAGTTGCAAAATTTTACAGGACATTTATGCGATGCAACCTTCCTCGTTCCATAGTTAAAATGACGAAACTTAAGTTACTCATTGATAGTTAAATGAGTTAATACTGATAGTGGTCCCTTGTACATTTATAAAGCTAGCTAAATGAGTCAAGTAAATTCATAATATACCTTTTTTTTCTTTCTTTCTTTCGATTATAATAAGACATGTTATGAGTATATATAAGATATTGAATATGTTAATCACATTGTTTGTGTTTCTTCTTTCGCCCCTTCTGAATTGAACGGTGTTGAAGTCAATAATTTGCGCACATTGAGAATTAGTTTCTACTCTTCTTGGATGATGTACTTTAACTAGAGAAACTAGTTTTGTGCCCGCCCGATGGACGGCGAGTTCATTTGTTTGTACTTTTCCTTCTATTATTTGTCATTTTTTTCAATGGTACCAGATTCCTACTTTCATATTTATTTATGATTGTACTCTAGGTTTTAATGATGATCAACAATAAAGTCAAACAACGTTGTAACTTCATCACTGCTTGGAAAATATTATTCATGACCATCAGATCTTTGATTGACCAACAATTGTCAACTTCATAAGTTGTACATGGTTTAAACTCGTGTACAACACCTTACCGTACTCCTATAGAGTTGGTATTTAGACCATGAATTAACGGAGTTTGGCACATGATGTTATACCATATTCTCTAATAGGTGAAACACGGTCTTTAATTCTCTAATCCAAATCGTACGATTCATTTAATGAAAAATAGTAACCACCGATTCTTATTTGTCAAAATATATTAACATACAACTAATAGGTATGAATGAAGGTGCATATTACACCTCGAGTGTATGCTAGCCTTTTCCACCATTATATCAATGTACAACCAAACTATTCTGCTATGCTTCTTACCTTCAACATTGTACGAATTATATCAAAGCAAATGTTAGTTATGGAGACACTTTGTCTTCACTTCACATTATCCTCTAATATTTAATATGTGACTAACTGTAACTGGAATTGTATGATAACTTAATATAAACATAAAGGTGCTATGTTGTGCAGTCAGTATAGTAACTGAATTTACAGGGCATCGTTATGATATGATCCTGCGTTGGTTTTACATGACACCAGTCCGGTACGTCCCATCCTAGTATACATGACATCGGTTAGGGTATGATCCGCAATGGATTTATAGGACACCAGTCTAGGTACGATCTGTGGTGGTATGCATGTCATCTACTACTACCCGATGAGTGTATGACTTGGCAAATTAAGATGTAAAATGCAATGAACCTAACCATGCATGTGATTGAATCATTGTATAAATATTACTTATGATGTGGTTAAGTGATGAGTTCTATGATGTGATATATGAAATGTGCATGTCGATGATGATGGTTTTCTATGGTGTTTTATACAATGATTTAAGATTGGATGATATGATGTTTTGCTATGTTGGGACAGGGGTTACATGGTAATGCTAGTATGATGTAATATTTGATGCATACATGTTAAACAGTGAGTTATCAAGAGACTGGGTGATGGTCCTAATGTTGTGATGTATGAATTCTTTGAGTTTGAGATGATGAATGTGATATGACATGTGGTGATGAATGGATGTCTATTTGACTAAATAAGATATATCATATCGGATGTATCTTGACAGTTAAGTTAAGCCAGTAAGGCCTGAGAAGTGGGTGACGGGAAACTGAATACTCCATGTTTTGCCATGGTCAATGAGAGGGACGATAAGTCATTTTGAACTATACTTTTAAAGGTAACGGAAAAGATATAAATCATTATCTTATGAGTAAGGTTATCCGGCGAGTATAACTGGTTACTAAAAATAGTAATAGTAATATATGTATTAGGGTGTCACATTAAGTAAGGATTAAAAATAGTTATTTACATATCAACCATCATATATCCAATAGTTTAAGATTCGTTTACAAATCTTGCTTGACTTAGGTATTATTCATCTGAATGCGACTCAAAGTTGCACATCTATACTCATGTAGGAAAAAGAAAGGAACTTATGTCAAACAATAAAAAGAGAAAAGAAAGGAATTATAATTACATTAGGAAAAAGTAAAGACAATGTGTTTTATAATTGTGCATGGAAGAATATTTAATGACGTACGAAAAATGAAAAGAGAAAGAAGTTGGAATAACATAAAAGAAAAGATAATGATATTTTAATATGCAAGAAATGCAAATTCAATCCTAAAAATGATAAATGCATTATGTATATGTACATGACTTTTTTTTATAACTTCTTTCACCAATTGGTCACAAACATATTTAAACCATATGACCATAATTCTGTTTTGAAAAATATACAAAAAACTTTGGTGACCATTGGTGTCTAGTGATATTCTTAAACACATGAAATTTTGTGTATATATCACTGTAGCATATGAATGAATTATTTTGATATATTTCAGATATTTATAGTAAGTATTTTCTAACAAATTTCAACATAACTACATTGGTTCACATATTATAGTAGTTCATACAAACAAAATGTTAAATTCTTCGTATTCTAGAAGACGGAAGAAGATTATACTTTACTTTTCATATTTCAATTTTAAAAGAAAATCACATGTCAAATTATGTAAAAGTATATAGTTGGTATAAATTTATGTTTTTCGGGTTTTTTAATTATTTTTAAGAAATTATAAACAATTATGAAACATATTATAAACTAAAAATAATTTATTTGTAGATGTTAATGATTTTCTTATCAATGCTAAAAAATAGATTACACAATTGTAACCGTGATAGCTATTCTATTGGTTAAAAAATAGTTGTGATTAATTGCATGAAAGATATTTTATTCTATTGGTTAAAAAATTGAAATGATTATAGTTTGAGCTTCTAGGTTGCATGATTAAATCATAGTTATGATGATTGATATACATGTTTTGTTGTGGTTAATAGCATCAAATATACTTTATCCTTGTGGTTGAACATTTGAAATGATGATAGTTTGATCTCATAGGTCATAGGTTCAAATTTTGGTGATGATGATTGATATGCATGTTTATTTAGTTTTATTTTAATGTAACTAATAACCTAAAATGTTAAAACTGACAAAATGACATGGAAAATTGTGGAGCTTTCGTTGTCCTACGTGGCAAAAACTTGCTCCACAACGGCCATAATATTAGTTAAGATAGGTAAACAAATTAAATAAAATTTATTCATCTACCCCAACACAGATAGGAGAATGATTATATTGGTCCAGCTAGCTAGATTAGGAGGGAGTAATCAATCGATATGCTGAAATCGCCTACTCCTTAATTAACACAGCTAACTATCACATATATTAATTCTACACAATCTGAAAATATAATGAATCGGCGTGCAAAGGTTACAATTCAATTAGGTATATATGTGTCATAATATTCTAGACAAAGATTCTGCTCTTTCACGTTCACTATGAATATATTAATTAATCATCACGATCAATAACAACTTATCAATGCTAATTAATATTCTAGACGAAATAATTAATAGTTATTATAGATTAATGATAGATAAAATAAGACTGACAATTCCTTAATATATAATTGTGGTGGGCTACATTACAATTACATAATCGTAAGGTGGGAATCCATCGAGCAAAGCAATGAAATGTAAGATTCCGTTCAACGGTGGCCAACACTGCTACTACTCTATTCAAAGAAGGAAAGCATTGGAGAAAGACACAATTTCCCAATCATGCAGTCACACATAAGATGTTGGTATTGTCAGAGAAACAATATGGAGAAAACGGATTAAAGGCGTGATTTTGATCACTCTTTTTAGAGTGTTTATTTGTCCCCATTACTTAGTTGCTGGTAGGATTTAGGCAAACCACCACTAGGAGTCTCTCCAATCAAAACCAGAAAGCAGCACCTTTCGTGACTTCTGTGTTTGTGTTTTTGGAGAAGGAAAAACGAGGAGAAGAAGATGAACGTTGGAGGAGAAGTTTGGCTGCAGAAGACTTTTTATAGTGCAAACGGCAGTTCCCTTCCG